CACGTACACCCCTACGTCCAGCCGCCCCCGCCGCCACCCCGCGGCCGCCGCCGCGCGGGCGCCGCGGCGCCGCGCGAGGACCGATGGCGCGACGGGTCGCCCGGCGCGGCCGCGCGGCTGGGGGCTGCGACCGATCCGGAGGGGCACGCGGAAGCGCTGCTCGCGCGGCTGCGCGAGTTCGTCGCGGAGAACGGCGGCTCGCTCGACCCTGGGTGGCGCTGCGAGGTCAAGGTTCGGATCACGGGCAACACTGCAGGCACGACAGACACGTATTACTTCAGCCCCCAGGGCAAGCGCTTCCGCTCGCGCCAGGAAATTGCCAAGGCGATCGGACTTGAGATCACCAACCCCAACGCGGGCGCCGGCGGCACGCGCGTGTCGGCCGCGGCGGGGCCCGGCGCGCCGCGGCGGAGCGGCGGCGGCAGCCCGAGGGCCGGTGGTGGCGGGGCCGGCGGCGGCGGCTTCCAGGGGCCGCCGACGCCGGCGAGCAGCAGCTTGTCTGAGATGTCGGCATCCCCGCCGCCGCCGGCGGAACCCCCGCCGCCCGGCGCGCCCGCCGCGCCCGCCGCGCCGCCCGCGCCGCGCGTGGGGGTCGCCACCATGCTTCTCGCGACGACAGCGCGCGGCGAGGGCAAGCGGCGCACCAAGGCGAGCGCGCGCGCGCTCGAGGCGCTCGCGGACGCGGCGCGCCCGGGGCGCGGCGGGTTCGGCGGCGTCGGGCTCGGCGGCAGCAGCGATGAGGAGGAGGAGGACGAAGAGGAAACAGAGAGCTCCGACGACGGCGGCGGCGAGCCCGGCGCCGCGCGGCAGGACTCTGAGGTCGCGGCGCTCGCGCGCGCAGCGGCGGCCGCCGCGGCGGCGGGGCGCGCGGGCAAGCTGCTGCAGCGCGGCACGCGGCCGCCGCTGCGGCTGAAGAACGGCGTGGTTGTAGAGCTGCTCGGCTGGGTGGACCCGCGGCCTGCGTTCCACTCGCCTTTCGCGGTCTGGCCGATGGGCTTCCGCTCGGCGTACACGGACCCGTCGGGCGCGGGGACGTTTTTCAGCGAAATTCGCGAGGCAGCGGGCGGCGGCGGCGGCCCGGAATTTGTGGTGTCGCTAGCGCCAGACGGCGCCGTGCTGCGGGACGTGCGGCGCGGGCTGCAGCAGGCGCGGCGGCGGCGGCGGGGCGAGCAGGGGCGCGCGGGGGAGCGGGCGCGATCGGAGGAGGCGGGGGAGGGGGCAGCGCCGGAGCGGGCGCGGGCGACGCCAGAAGTGGGGGCGGCTGCGGATGCGGCGGCGGCGCCGGAGACGGCAGCGGCGCCGGCGCCGGTGCAGGAGCCAGAGCAACCGCAAGAGCAGCAGCAAGAGCAGCAGCGGCAGCAAGAGCAGCAGCAGCAGCAGGAGCAGCAGCAAGAGCAGCAGCAGCAGCAGCAGCAAGAGCAGCAGCAGCAGCAACAGCCGCCGCTGGCCAATGGCGACGTAGAGATGGCGGACGCCAGCGCAGCAAGCCTGGAGCAACCGCCCACAGCGGCGCAGGCCAAGGACGAGCAGCAGCAGCAGCAGCAACAGCAGCAGCAGCAGCAGCAGCAGCAAGAGCCGGAGCAGCGGGAGCAGCAGCCGCCTCAGGCCGCGAGCGAGCCAGCGGCCCCGGCAGATGGCACAAACGGCAAGGCCGACGCCGGCGATGCCGCCGCTTCAGGCCAGGCGGGCCCGGTGGCGCCATCCACCAGCGGCGGCGGCGCCGCGACCGGGGCTGCCGCGCGCACCGCCAGCGGCGGCGGCGGCGCCACCAAGCGCGCCGCCGGCGGCCTGGTCGTGCGCCTGCCGAGCGGCACCCTCAACCGCGCCCGCAGCGCCGGCGGCGCGCCGCCGCCGCAGCGCGCCCCGCCGCGGGCGCGCGAGGCGAGCGGGGACGGGGCCAGCATAGAATGCGATGAGGTGTTTGTGCTGGCGACAGGCTCGTCGATGGACGAGGTTTGGGAGAAGGTAGAGCGGCTGCAGCATCGCGCCCTCCACCCTGATGCGCCGGCGCTAGCGCCGGCGATGCCGCAGCCGGCGTCGGCCGAGGGCGCCCCCGGCCCTGTTGCCACCGCCGCCGTCGCGCCCGCCGGGCCGTCTGCAGATGCTGAGGCGCGCGCCGACGGCGAGGCAGCTGCCGCGCCTGCCCTCGCAGCCGCTGCTGCCACGGCACCCACCCCTGCCTCTGCCGACGCGGCTGCAGCCGTTGAAGCCCCTGCCTCTGCAGCAGATGCAGCGGCCCCCGCAGCCGCTGCTGCCCCTGCCGTCCCTGCTACTCCTGCCGCCGCCGCAGTCGCCGAAGAGGCGGCAGGCAGCGCAGAGCCGCCGCCGCAGCAGCAGGAGCAGCAGCAGGAGCAACAAGCGGCCCCTGAGCAGGGGGCGAATCAGCTCGAGTCCCAGCCGCAGCCAAAGACCGCCGAGCAGCCAACAGAGCAGCCAGCGGAGCACCCAGCCGAGCTGCAGCCGTCGCCGCCGCCGCCGCAGCAGCAGCAGCAGCAGCCGCCCGCCGAAGACCCCCCTCTCGCGCCCGACGCTGCCGCGCTACTGCGGCGTGCCGCGCCCCTGAAGGGCTGCTGGGGCACCGCCCTCTTTGGGTTCAACGAGGTGTCCGTGCTGCAGCTTATTGAGGGCCTGCCCGGCGTGGCCGACTGCGAGCGGTACCAATTTGTCGACGAGCGCGGCGGCTGGGAGGAGGAGGCCGCGGTGCTCGCGCGCGGCCGCGCCGCGCGGCGCCACGCCGCGGCCGGCGACGGCGGGGACAAGCAGCAGGAGCGCGCCGCGGCGACGGACAGGGCAGCGGCGCCCGCCGGCGGGCAGAAGCGGCGCGCGTCGGACGGCGGGCGGCTCGCCGGCGTGAAGCGGCCGCGCGGCGCGGGCGCGGAGGAGCGGGCCGTGTTTGACTGCTGCGAGCGCGTCGTTGACCGCATGCTGCGGAAGGTGGACAAGTGGTGGTCGGCCGAGGAGGCGCGGGCGGCGCGGCGGGCGGAGAAGGAGCGCCGGGCGGCGGAGGCGCGGCGAGCGCAGGTGGGGGCGAGGCGGTTCCGGCGGTGGGGGTGTGGGTTGAAACCTGGTTTTGGGGCCGGCTGGGGTTCAAGCGGCCACTCATGCTCAGATGCATCAAGCCTGTTGTTGGGCCTCGCCGGGGAGCGCTTATGCAGATGATGATGATGATGAGCCTCTGTGTGTGATGCCTCTTTTGCATGGGCATGGTCGCGGTGTGCAGCTCGCCAGAGCGGCCCTTTTTGGACGGGTTGGCGCCTGCGGGACCCACAATTGTGCGCTCCTTGCTCGCAGGAACAGCACCAGCAGCAGCTGCGGCAGCAGCAGGAGGAGCTGGAGCAGCAGCAGCAAAAGGCCCAGCTGGAAGCTGCCGCCGCCGCAGAGGCAGCGGCGGCAGCTGCTGCGCAGCTGCTGCCGCCGGCGCCGCCGCTGGTGGAGGACCTGTCGCTGCCCGACGCGGCGGCGCCTTCGCGGCAGCTTCCCGAGCCGCGTCCCGCGCTCAGGGCGCTCGAGGGGGAAGCCGCGGAGCAGCTGCTCCGCGCCTGGGAGTTCTGCTGCAGGTTTGGGCCGCTGTTGGGGCTGGAAAAGTCCGCTTTGGAAGGGGCTGCAGCGGGGCAGCCGCCACCACTTGCAGTAGCCTCGCAGCGCGCGCAGCAGGGCCGGCGCGCCCCTGCGGTGGGGGGCGACGGGTGCAAGCCGATCGAGCCGCTGCTGCTGCTCAGGATGCTGGAGGAAGGGATCCTGGCGGAGCGAGTGCAGGAGGAGGCCGGTGGCGCGGATGGCGCGGGCGCGGAGGGCGAGCGGCACGCGGCGCGGCGCCTGTGGGCGCGCCTGCACTCGGGACTGGCGGGCCTGCTCGCTGGGGACGCCTACGCGGCCGCCGCGGCCGCGCTGCTGCGCGCCGGCGGCGACCGCGAGCGTGAGCGCGACGCGGCGGGCGCGCTGGCTGTGACGGCCGACACGTGGCCCGAGGCGGCGCGGAGGTATCTCTGGGGGGTGGCGGCGGCGCTGTACCTCTCAAGCCTGGACCCCCCGCCCCGCGGCGCAGCCGGCGGCGGCGCGCCGGGCGGCGGCGCGGGCGGCGCGGCAGACCTGCCGGGCCGCCTGTCGGCGCTCGCGGCGCAGGACTGGGCGGCGGCGATCTGCGGCGG